TGAAGTGTACCATCCGGTCTTGCTATGTATTGTTTACAATGTGTATGTGACATATTCACACATACATCCGCATCCAACACGCACATACATAAAGATATAAAGAAGCAAACACGCATGAACAAAAATAAGTTCTAAAATAGCTGCGTTGTATCTTCATAGTCATAAAAGGGGATACGGGCGTTAATAAGATTAACACCAGCTATTTAAGCTTACCAATACTCCTCAGAACTCAGTTACTTGTCAGGTACTCGCTAAGGCAGCCAGCTGTGGGCAAAGTAGTTCTGAAAGGAAATTTCTTTGCCACACTCGCATCAGCAACCTATCTTAAAGGTACGTTATCGCCTCAGACCTAAAACTTGAGTGAATTTTTTATTTTATGTTTCTCCTGTCTGAAAACACTGCATTAACATAGGCATGAAAGTGAAAGGAAGAAATATCATTGTGAATGCACACATGCAGACCCACACACATATGCATATATATATGTGTGCATACATGCATATATATATCACTATACATGTAAATGTACAAACACACACATGTGTGTGTATATAAGCATATATATATGTGTGTGTGCATATATACTTATTTATACATAAATATGTATACATATACATATGTACGTACATATATATGTATGTATGCTTGTATATGTACGTGTGTGTGTGTGTGTGTGTGTGCATGTACAGTGTTATGTATGCATATATCATATACATATATATATGTATGCACACATGTATATCAATATATATGTGTATATACATATATATGTATATATGCAGACATATATACATATATATATATAGACGTATGTATGTGCATATATATGTGTGTGTGTGTACGTGCACACGTATGATATATATAGAGTACATACAGACTCGCACATACACACACACTCGCACACACACAAACTCACACATACGTGCATACACACACAATATATATATATACATGTATACAAATGCATATAGGTATGTATTTATGAATGTATCTACATTTATACACTAACATATTTATATCATGATTATAAGTGCATTTGGTATAAAAATCAAATATGTCGATATTACCTGATAAATATACATATATCGCTTATAACAGATGTCGTGGAACAGCGCAGACATGGGCAGCAACGTCCTCCCATCCACCAATCCCTATGGGAACTACACAGTGGTTGACACTGTGCCAAAGGAACTTCTCCATATGGTGGATTCCCATTGGTACCAGTTCCCTCCCATGAATCCACTCTGGTATAGCCTCGTTGGCTTCTGGATGGTAATCATGGGATGTCTCTCCGTTGCCGGTAACTTCGTCGTCATTTGGGTCTTCATGAATACCAAATCTCTCCGAACACCTGCTAACCTCTTGGTCGTTAACCTGGCCATGTCTGACTTCCTGATGATGTTCACAATGTTCCCACCCATGGTCATCTCTTGCTACTGGCAGACCTGGACTCTTGGAGCATTCTTCTGCGAGATCTATGCTTTCCTTGGGTCTCTGTTCGGCTGCGTTTCCATCTGGACCATGGTCTTCATCACTGCTGACCGATACAATGTCATCGTCAAGGGAGTGTCTGCTGAGCCTCTGACTTCTGGCGGTGCCATGGCAAGGATTGCTGGTACCTGGGCTGCCTCTCTTGCCTGGTGCCTTCCTCCTTTCTTCGGCTGGAACCGTTATGTGCCTGAGGGTAACATGACCGCTTGTGGCACTGACTACTTGAATGAGACCACCATGAGCAAGAGCTACTTGTGGGTATACTCCGTCTGGGTGTACATCTTCCCTCTCTTCTACATCATCTACAGCTACACCTTCATCGTCAAGGCTGTTGCTGCTCACGAGAAGGGAATGCGCGAACAGGCCAAGAAGATGGGAGTCAAGTCCTTGAGGAGTGAGGAAGCCCAGAAGACCTCTGCTGAGTGCCGCCTTGCAAAGGTTGCTCTCATGACCGTCACCCTGTGGTTCATGGCCTGGACCCCCTACTTCATCATCAACTATGGAGGCATGTTCAACAAGCCCATGGTTACTCCTCTTTTCTCCATCTGGGGCTCCGTCTTCGCCAAGGCCAACGCCGTCTACAACCCCATCGTGTACGCCATCAGCCATCCCAAGTATCGTGCTGCCCTTGAGAAGAAGCTGCCTTGCCTTGCTTGCGCTACTGATGGCCGAGATGGTTCCGACGCCAGTTCCACTGGCACTGCCCAAGTGCCAGAGAAGACTGAGTCTGCTTAAGATGTCAGATTGTTGACAACATACATGTGAGCATACTTGTCAGTAACTTTATACATCACCCATATAATTTCGAGATAAAAAAAGAAAATACACCTAAGCATCGCAATAAGTGGTATGATTTTTCCAATGTTCTGGTTCCGCAAAAAAAGGATAGAAATACAAATACCCATGTACATAATTATATGTAGATGGTACACCCATATAGACATGCACAGACAAATAAACACATATGCATGCATAGGGCCATAGATGCATACACACATAAACATATACATATATGTATGTATATTCACTATACATGATATACTATCTACAGTATTAATCTCTATATGTATACGTACACACACAAATATATATAAATATATATATATATTCACACAGGCATATATATGTATATATTTAACATATAGATAGATACATGTGTGTATTATACATATATATGTGTGTATATATATATATATATACATATATATGCATAAAAATACTTATAAACATATATATGCATAAACATACTTATAAACATATATATGTATATAAACGTATGAACATATATATATATATATATATATATATATATATATATGTATGTATGTATGTATATGCATATGTGTAAGTATTTGTATGTATATATATATATATGAATATATGCATATATATGTACACATATATATGTATGTGTGTGTGTTAGATTTTGTGTATATATAAATGCATGCATATATATACACGTGTGTATATATATACATATTTATACATACATACACACATGCGTGCGTGTGTGTGTGTGTGAATACACGGTGGTCAGCAGGGAATCACTTATCCAGTTCAGAGGCTTTAGGAGGGTGTCCTCTCTGCACATTGTTATTTTTTTATGCTAATGAACTTTGCCACTGGTTATCCCGAGGCAATGCCTTTGAAAGAGATGGATTTTATTTCAGTTGCCGAAGATTTCCTGTCCACTTTTTCTAGCGTAGGTATTTCTCGTGAGATGATTTCTAATATTCTGAGACATTTTGGAAACTTTTTTTTGAGAGTCCTGATTGGCTGCTCAGCAAGACAGCTTCGTAGTGCGAGGCACCTCGACACTGATTGGTATTCGATGCTGTAACTTCTGGTCCGAAGTGTCTCTGAATATGAGTGGTTATCTGATCATAGCACACAGTTAAATGCTTGTTAACCACGCCTTACTATCCAGCCTGCAATGGTTAAGTAAATTGTTTGCATCTTTCATTTGACCCGAATATCTTTATAAGAAAAAAAATCGGTTTTAAAATGATATTGGGTACATAGATAAAACTTTGACTATTTACTTCCGGGCCCCACGATAACAAGTACAGGCAAGACACATTGTCAAAACGATAGCTTGAGATTTTCTTTGACACTTTTTTATCTGTTCCAGATTCAAGGCGATATAAATTCCAAGGCCTGTACTATGTAAAATAAATATAACCTTCCCTGGATGACGTGATTCTCCAAGTCAGATGGAAGGACTGTTTCTAGAACTCTTTTTTCTCTATCTATCTCTTTGTAACTCTTTACAACTAGGGATTTTTTTTTATATCTTTTGCTGGTGGTACAATACACGGTAAATACTCACCTAATTCAGACATACACACATGCTTTTAATATTCCCTTGGCATTAAATACAACTACAACAATTTTGAGATACAAATAAACTCAAACCTTGCTAAAACGGTTTCAAAAGAAGGGCTGAAGGATTTTAGATTCGTAAGTTTCAGATAATGAATCTGAACCACGAACTCAAATATACTTATTCATTGACATATTGATGTGTATGCATATATGTATATAATGCATATCTATACATATATTCCTTATGCATAGATATGTACATATGCGTATGTGTATATGTATATATACATATATGTATATATATATGTAGATACACACACACACACACACACACACACACACATATATATATATATATATATATATATATATATATATATATATGAATATGTATATACTGACATAAACACAGTAACGTGTACACAAAAAAATAAAGGAAAACAGCCACAGCAAGAAATGAAAATGAATCGTAACGTTTCGAACTCTTCACGAGTTCTTCTTCAGACGAATGATATACCAAAATGGGTCCATTTTGGTATATAATTTCTTACTGTATTTTCATTTCTTTCTGTGACTGTTTTCTATTCCTGTATATATACATATATGATTACATATACCCATATGAATATATATGTACATGTAAATCTATGAATGCATATATATATATTGTTTATACATACATATATATATGCTTATATATATACAAATATTGATTACTTCTTTTACATACACATATTGTATATACATACACACATACATAGATATAAATATTTATATATTTATATGTATATATTTGTGTCTTTATAAATATATACATTTACGTACTTATATGTATACAAATATAGTTTATACATACATATGTATATATATCTACTTAAATACATATATAAATATACAAACGAATGTGGTTTAAGTACTCATTAAATACATATATAATATGAATACCTACATTGTTTATGTACACATACATATATATATATATAATATGTGTGTGTGTGTGCACATACATACTGTATATGAACTGATCTGATACATACTATATAGAGAATGTAAGTTGACTTTACAGGGAAGTGAAACAGAAATCATTGCTGGGATATATTTGCGGTTCAGCAAATAAAGGGGTTACATGAAAAAGTTGTATCCTCATTTTCACATTCGTTGTCACGATCCATAGGTCTCTCTTTCTATGCAGATTCCGACTTTTCCGTACTTGCAGCAGTAGTAGTTGAACCAGCATCAGAACTACCACCGTCTTTGCCCTCAGTAGCACAGGATAGACAAGGCAGTTTCTTCTCGAGAGCAGCTCGGTATTTAGGATGGCTGATGGCATACACAATGGGGTTGTAGACGGCATTGGCCTTGGCGAAGACGGAACCCCAGATGGAAAACAGAGGAGTAACCATGGTCCGGTTGAACATTCCTCCCCAGTTGATGACGAAGTATGGGGTCCATGCTACGAACCATAGGGTGACGGTCATTAGAGCAACCTTGCACAGACGACACTCAGCAGAGGTCTTTTGGGCTTCTTCACTCCTCAAGGACTTAACTCCCATCTTCTTGGCTTGTTCTCGCATTCCCTTCTCGTGGGCAGCCACAGCCTTGACGATGAATGTGTAACTGTAAATGATGTAGGCAAGAGGGAAAAGATATACCCACACTGAGTACACATACAAGTAACTCTTTGAAAATTCTGTTTCCGTCAAATAATCTGTTCCACAGGCAGTCATGTTACCCTCAGGAACATACCGATTCCAGCCAAAGAATGGTGGAAGACACCAAGCAAAGGAAAAGAACCAGGCACCAGCTATCCTTAACATGGCACCTCCAGACGTCAGTGGTTCAGCAGAAACTCCCTTCACAATGACGTTGTATCGATCAGCAGTGATGAATACCATGGTCCAAATTGAAATACATCCGAAAAGTGAACCAAGGAAACCATAGATCTCACAGAATAGTGCTCCAAGAGTCCATGTCTGCCAGTAACACGACACTACCATAGGGGGGAACATGGTAAGCATCATCAAGAAGTCGGAAAAGGCCAGATTAACGACCAGCAGATTAGCAGGCGATCGAAGAGATTTGGTGTTCATGAAAACCCAGATGACGACGAAGTTTCCAGCTAAGGAGAGACTTCCCATGACAACCATCCAGAAACCAACAAGACTGTACCAAAGAGGGTTCATGGGAGGATATTGATACCAGTGCTCATGCACCATATGGAGAATCTCCTTCGGCGCAGTGTCAACCACCGTATAGTTGCCATATGGATTGGTGGTTTCCAGAACGGTGACCGGATTTGGGTTGTTCCACGACGACATCTGTGGCGAAGTATGAAATATAAAATGAGTGTATAATTTATTTGTACAGTTTTGATGTTTTTGTTGGAAACTTCCAATGTAATATAATGTACTTGTGCATATATGTATGTATATATATTTGTACAGATATATTTATTTGTATGTATATGTTTGTGTTTATGTATATTAGCGCAAATATACATATAAGTATATTTATGTGTGTATACCTATATATGTGTATATATGTATGTACCTATATATGTGTATATATATTTATGTACCTATATATGTGTATATATGTATGTACCTATATATGGGTATATATGTATGTACCTATATATGTATATATGTATGTACCTATATATGTATACATGTATGTAACATATAATTATGTGTGTATGTCATCACATATATACTCTAGATATATATAATGTATATGTGTATATATATATACATATGCATATCTATAGAAAGATACATAGACATATATGTATGCACACATAAATGCGTGTGCATATATATTTACATATATACATATACACATATACTCATATAAATGCACACACATGCATATATATATGAATATGTATATACATAAACACATATATCTATACGCACATACACACATATATATATGTATACGCACACACGCACATATATATGTATACATATACTCTCGCACTCATGTAAATATATATATACATATTTGTGTATATGCGTGCGTAGGTTTTAATATTAACATTATATACTTCCAAAAAGACATATCAATACTTACATTTCGTTTTAGAACGTCCCTGCAACTGAGCCAAAGAACTTCTTCCAAGGACTACTTTAAGCTCAGGTCCCTCTGCTGAGTCGAAACTCCTCACAGGTAACTGCGCTCTTGCGAGATGTGACAGCTTTTAAGTATGAAGGCCTAACTCGATTTACCAAAACCTGACACTGTCACTGTAAAAGGAGTTAATTCGAGTTCCCCTTGGAATAAAGGAAGCTTAAGAAAACAATCTATTTCCACGAAAAGATACTTATCTACGTGTACGCATTTCTTTCTCTGTACATGCACAATATGTACATATTCATGAATGTGTGCGAAAACATGCATATGTGTGAACAGACTAACATGTAAACAAAGATGAATTTAAATACTGCTACAATAAGAAAGGAAAGTTAAATCGTAACGATTTGAGTTAGAGTAGTCTTTTAAAAAATGCTCATGAGGACTTAACTCTGATTCGATATTTACTGATAAATTTCACCTTTCTCGCTGTGCTTCATCTCATGTCCGTATGTTATGTTTTTTATGATTTCATTTGGAAAAGATTATTTATAGTCAATTCCCTTTTCTGTTTTCCGTATATTATTATCATTATTATCATTATGATTATTATTATTACATGAAACTTCGTTTCTGAGATTGTTCCAACCAAGCTTTATCAATCAAAAGCAAAATTCCAATAACTAAATCACTATACGTGGTAATACTTATTAATTGTAGCATTGCTACTGTATGTTTTACAAAAAAAAATGCATAAACTCCATGCTGTAGATAATTATCTTCCTTTTAATACCTTTACCAAACTTGAATTTGATAAATTGATTAAGAAAATACACAGATATTTATCAGTTAAAGACAATGCTATCCTAGAAAAATATACGATAGGAAAGATACTGAAAATAAGGACAATATGTATTTTTTTTTTTATTCAACTAGAAAATCAATAATCAAAATGCACACACAAATTTACAGATTTTTTTTGGTAAGCTAAGCATATTGTCATCACTGTAACATTTCAACTTTGAATTGCTGAAGGCCGATGTAACCGCCCCTTCTTCGTCCTTTATTTTACTCTCTTTTTACCATATATATAGTTTTTTTCTCTGAGAACCATCTAGCATTGTTGGTTATTTATTTAACAATGCAATAAATAAACTGTATGAGTGTATGCGTAGGCAAACTTGCGAATAATCTATGTGACTTAATAAATTCGCATACATTGATGTATGCGCGCGTGTGCGAAGGAAGATATAGATTATAGAGTTTACCAAAAGAAAGACACATCAGAGTATATTCGAAACTCTTTTAAGTATGAATTCGTCTAATACAAGGACTTTACATACTATCTATGTCATCATATGGATG